ATAGATAGATAGATAGATAATAGATAGATAGATAGATAGATAGATAGATAGATAGATAATAGATAGATAGATAGATAGATAGATAGATAGATAGATAGATAGATAGATAGATAGATAGATAGATAGATAGATAGATAGATAGATAGATAGATAATAGATAGATAGATAGATAGATAGATAGATAGATAGATAGATAGATAATAGATAGATAATAATAGATAGATAGATAGATAGATAGATAATAGATAGATAGATAGATAGATAGATAGATAGATAGATAGATAATAGATAGATAGATAGATAGATAGATAGATAGATGATAGATAATAGATAGATAATAGATAGATAGATAATAGATAGATAATAGATAGATATATAATAGATAGATAGATAGATAGATAGATAGATAGATAGATAATAGATAGATAGATAGATAGATAGATAGATAGATAGATAGATATAGAATCTGGGACTATATAGGACGGTGATTGGTGTATTGCTCAGTACAGTTGCGATGGAAGATATAATATATATAATATATGATGATGCTGAGTCATATCCATGCGGCTCGATGTCTCCCATGATGTCACAGCATCTGATATGTAATCATCTCCCCCCCAATCTCATCATTTCTGCCCCCCAATCACGCGTCTGCTTGTCTCTGCTTGGCGCTCTCGTCTTTGCACGTTTTTTTCCTCGGCGATGATCTATGGCCGGCGGACTCTCATTGCTGAATATTGAAACATCTTTCATCTCTTTATCTTCTTACAGTTTAAATATCAAAGCGCAGCGTTCCCGGCTCCTTATGCACTTACTTTTTATGTCTCCCCCTTTATTTCTTCTCAGAAGTGGATATATTTCGCAGTTCGGACGGAATGCCGGCTCATTGTTGGAGTTGTAAAGCTCTCCGGTTATTTTAGCCGGCAGGAGAACATCCCAGGAAGGGTACTAAAGTGGAACTCCAACCCATCCTCGGCCTTGCAAAGTTGTAGGGGCTCCTCTCCTGGACTGAAATGGCTTACTCTGAATTCACTGCACACTGTGAGCTTCAGCATTAGGAATATGTTACATTTTCCATCCTAAAAATGGGTGCAACATGTAACATGTTCCCAAAGGTGAACGTATCCTTTAAGACAGTGCCATAGAAATACATTAGATGTGACTTCAGGTGCGATTTGTAAATTCGAAGTCGCAGCAGTGTGAACTAGGGCCTAATGTCACACAAAAAGTGTTGTCACTGCTGTCCCATGGTTGACCTTTCACACAGACGTTCCGATCGGGTCTGACTGCCCATTTTTCAGGCGGACCCGACCAGAACCTCTATTCTCCTCTATGGAGCGGCGGGTGCAAACGGATATGTGTCCCAAGGGTCCCTACACAGGTGCGTGCTGCACCGGGTGACACCTATCGGGGCGGGGGGGGGGACACCGGATCCGCTACATGAAAAGGTAAGTTGTAAAGCAAGCCTACTATCCCCGCAGGATGGATCGGATCTGCGGATTGAACATAATGGATCAGAGTCCAATCCATTATACTCCCCAATCCACAGATCTGATCCATTCTGCGGGGATCGTTGGCTCGCTTTACAACTTACCTTTTCGTGGAGAGATCAGTTAACCCCGTATAGGTTTCATGCCGATGATCCCCGCAGGATGGATCGGATCTGCGGATTGAGCATAATTAATCAGAGTCCGGTTCATTATGCTCCCCAATCCGCAGATCTGATCCATCCTGCGGGGATTGTCGACTTGCTTTAAAACTTACCTTTTCGTGGAGGGATCAGTTAACCCCGTATAGGTTGCATGCTGATGATCCCCACAGGATGGATCGGATCTGCGAATTGGGGAGGATTATGGATTGGACTCCGATCCATTATGCTCAATCCATTCTGTGGGGATCGTCGGAGGGGGTGTCACCAAGTGTTACTACACCGGGTGACACCAACCCTAGGGACCCCCTGATGTGTCCGTTTACACCCGCCGACATCCGATCCGATCCGCCAAAATGATACGGATGGGGATCCATTCCCCTTCTGTTGGATCGGATTGGACGGCAGTCGGTTGGAAACGGACAGGCGATCCATTTCCATCTGACCGCCCATAGAGGACAGTGAGCTGTGTCCGGAGCGGACACGGACTTGTCATCCACTTGCTCACCTAGGATGAGCGGAGAGGTCCCCCCGCTAAGCAAGCGGATCCACTGACGGGTCCACCCCCGGCTTTAATTGCTGTCAATGGTCAATTTTTTTTCCTACCCCTTCCAAAAATGAAATGATTTGTGCCCATCAACAACGCTAACAGCTTGAGAATCCCCGCATCGGTGCGACACCACCACAATGCAGGAATATTTACCGCACAATAATCCCATGACTCCTCCCCCCCTCCGGGGCTCCAACTGAGAATCTGATTTAATGTAAATAATTTGCATAATGTTGTCACCCTCCAACCAACAATAACAAGATAATCCAATAAAGACCACTGCGCGCGGCGTGATGGATATCAGCGGAAGCCGAATTTCCATATCATTACTAAAGAGAGATATGGCGGCGCGTGACGTCCGGCCGTCCCCTATAGTGAGCGCTCAGCGATGCTCTTATGTTATATGTATGTTAATTGCGGCACAAAAAGACAACTCGGAGAAATACGGGGCGATTTATCATAAATAATAGGCGACGGACGCGATATGTCTTCCGCCTCCGGAGCTGGGGAATATTTTAAAGGGTGTTTCCCTTAGATAATCCTGATGAAATGTTTTTCATACACGGCCTGTTAAAGCTGAACTCCGGGGAAACACATACATACAAATAAAATACATACATATATATATATATATATATATATATATATATATACACACACACACATCTATCTATCTACATATATACATACATATCTATATGTATATATATATGTGTATATATATATATATATGTATATACATACATACAGTATATATATGTATATATATATATATATATATACATACATACAGTTGCAAGAAAAAGTATGTGAACCCCTTGGGATTACGTGGAGTTTTGCATGAATTGGGCATAAAATGTGCTCTGAACGTCATCTAAGTCACAACAATAGAAGAACACAGCCTGCTGAACATAATACTACACAAACATTAGATGTTGCCATGGTTTAATTGCACATAACATGTAAACATTCACAGTGCAGGGAGGAAAAAGTATGTGAGGCCCTAGCTTAATGACTTCTCCCAGAGCTAATTGGAGCCAGGAGTGACCCAACCTTGACTCCAATCAGTGTGATGATATTGGATGTGTTGCTGACAGCTGTCCTGCCCTTAAAAAACACACACCTGTTTTGGGTTTACTGGTTTCAAGAAGCACTGTCTGATGTGAACCATGCCTCACAGAAAAGAGCTCTCAGAAGACCTACGATCAAGAATTGTTGACTTGCATGAAGCTGGAAAGGGTTACAAAAGTATCTCCAAAAGCCTTGATGTTCATGTGTCCACGGTAAGACAGACTGTCTACAAATGGAGAAAGTTTAGCACTGTTGCTACTCTCCCTAGGCGCAGTCGTCCTGTAAAAATGACTGCAAGAGCACAGCGCAGAATGCTGCATGAGGTAAAGAAGAATCCCAGAGTGCCAGCTAAAGACCTACAGAAATCTCTGGCACATGCTAACATTTTTGTTGACACATCTACAATAAGGAAAACATGAAACAAGAATGGAGTACATGGGAGGACACCACGGAGGAAGCCATTGCTGTCCAAAAAGAATATTGCAGCACGTTTGAAGTTTGCAAAAGAGCACCTGAATGTTCCACAGCACTACTGGCAAAATATACTGTGGACAGATGAAACCAAGATTGAGTTGTTTGGGAAGAACACACAACACTATGTGTGGAGAAAAAAAGGCCCAGCACACCAACATCAAAACCTCATCCCCACTGTGGTCAGTCCGCCCCTGGTTTGGTCCGAACTATCAACTCATCCATAGGGAGGAGAGAGAGAAGCTACTGCCGGGCCTTTTACAAGACCCATAGAGCTCTACAAAGTCCGAGTTATGGAGCATTCATGAAAAAGACAATGAAAGGTACCAGGGGCATCTCATGGGGCCCCCTACTGACCCCGGGCCCTCGGGCAGTGCCCGAGTGCTTAAATGGTCAGTCCGCCCCTGCCCTCAAATGTCATATTTGGTAGCACCCCTTGTAAAAAATAACTGAAATCAATGGCTTCCTGTAACCATCAATGAGTTTCTTCCACCTCTCTGCTGGAATTTTGGATCGCTCTTCCTTCACCATCTGCTCCAGGTCTCTCAGATTGGAAGAGTTCCTTTTCCCAACTGCTGTTCTGAGATCTCTCCACAGGAGCTCTATGGGATGGAGATCTGGACTCATTGCTGGCCAGTTCAGTCTTCTCCATCGCTTTGTCTGAAACAATTTCTGGGGGCTTTTTGACATGTGCTTTGGTCATTGTCCTGCTGTAAGACCCATGACCTTTGATGGAGACCCAACTTTTTGACACTGGGCTCTATATTGCACCCCAGAATTCTTTGGTAGTCTTCAGATTTCACAGTGCCATGCACACAGTCAAGACATACAGTGCCTGAAGCAAAGGAATTCATCCTAAAGATGTTCTATGGGGTTGAGGTCAGGACATTCAAGTTCCTCCACCCCAAACTGGCTCCTCCATGTCTTTATGGACCTTGCTTTGTGCACTGGTGGGCAGTCATGTTGGAACAGGAAAGGGCCATCCCCAAACTCTTCCCCACAAAGTTGGGAGCATGAAATTGTCCAAAATGTCTTGGTATGCTGATGCCTTAAGAGTTCCCTTCACTGGAACTAGGGGGCCAAGCCCAACCCCTGAAAAACAACCCCACACCATAATCCCCCTCCACCAAACGTTACACTTGGCACAATGGAGTCAGGCAAGTACCGTTCTCCTGGCAACTGCCAAACCCAGACACGTCCATTGGATTGCCAGACAGAGAAGCGTGATTGGTCACTCCAGAGGACACGTCTCCACTGCTCTAGAGTCCAGTGGCGGCGTGCTTTACACCACGGCATCTGACGCTTTGCATTGCACTTGGTGATGTAAGGCTTGGATGCAGCTGCTCGGCCATGGAAACCCATTCCATGAAGCTCTCTGCTCACTGTTGTTGGGCTCATCTGAAGGCCACACCAAGTTTGGAGGTCTTTAGCTATTGACTCTGCAGACAGTTGGCGACTTCTGCGCACTATGCGCTTCAGCATGCGCTGACCCCGCCCTGTCATGTGACGTGGCCTACCACTTGGTGGCTGAGTGGCTGTTGTTCCCAGTTGCTTCCACTTTGTTATAATCCCACTAACAGTTGAGCGCGGAATATTTAGTAGCCAGGAAATGTCACGGATGGACTTATTGCCCAGGTGGCCACCTATCACGGGACCACGCTTGGAGTCACTGAGCTCCTGAGAGCGACCCATTCTTTCACCAATGTTTGTAGAAGCAGTCTGCATGCCTAGGGGCTTGATTGTATACACCTGTGTCCATGGAGGGGATTGGAACACCTGAATCACATGATTGGGAGGGGATTGGAACACCTGAATCACATGATTGGGAGGGGATTGGAACACCTGAATCACATGATTGGGAGGGGATTGGAACACCTGAATCACATGATATGGAGGGGATTGGAACATCTGAATCACAAGATATGGAGGGGATTGGAACACCTGAATCACATGATTGGAGGGGATTGGAACACCTGAATCACATGATTAGGAGGGGATTTGGAACACCTGAATCACATGATTGGAGGGGATTGGAACACCTGAATCACATGATTGGAGGGGATTGGAACACCTGAATCACATGATTGGAGGAGATTGGAACACCTGAATCACATGATTTGGAGGGCGGGCCCAATACTTTTGGCAATATAGTGTATCTCGAAGTAGAAAGACACACGGACATGATAAAGCCAAGGGTTTTTTTCACACAACGAGTTACTGTACTGAAAGGATAATGTGGTTTTGTTACATCAACATTTTACTTCCATGGAACGAATGTAAAATTTACAGCTGATGCTATTTTTTGATGAGGCCCAAATCCTCAAACCTTTTAACAAAACCGCCCCGATCTCATTCTTCTGGTGCCTCCATCAGGCCGGGTTTCGGGGAGGGGGGGGGGGGGGGAGGGGAGGGGTGTTTGCTCGCTGACCACTTAATCTGCTGAGGTTCCAGGCAATAAATGCTTCTTCCCATGTACATCCCCCGATGTACCTATAAATTTCAGCTTCGGCTAATCGCTCTCTAATATCTCCGACCGTGCCTGAGACTTTACAGTTGCATTATCCCCGTAGCCGCGAGAAGTGCTTACCGCAGATGGTTTGTAAGTGACGATAATATGAGACCATAAATTATTTTGGGAGAAGAAAGGAAGAGTCTGATTTCAGGTGTCCCTGTAGATGTCTATCTGGCATTTTATAGAACAGAGCTGTGTCTGCTGCGCAGCAGAAACTTTAAATTGCCTATGTTAACTATGTTGGTTCTGCTGATCTCCTGCCGCCTCTTTCAGCCGCTTCCTGTCTAAATGCACGTAGGCCACTATCGGCTGCATAGCAATTGCGCTGGACCGGCACAATGACTTGTAAATGTGCATAATAACTGACCAAAAGTACATAAATAGGTGGGAATAAAGTAAAAAAGTGAGCGCTCCCTGGTTAGCAGCACTAAATGTAACCAATATTATTATTATATTATTATACAGTATTTATAAAGCGCCAATGGTTCGCTCAGCGCTGTACATTACAAAGGGGGACAGAACATGTGACAGAACAATACCAATACAATGCAAAACATGAGGGGATTGAGGGCCCTGCTCCTTGGAGCTTACAATCTAGGAGGGAGGGGATGGTGGCACAGGAGGAGATAGCTGTGGGGGATGGAGTGGTAGGAAGAGTGGAGGAGGTCGGTCAAGTTAGCAGGGGGTGGGGTAGGCTTCCCTGAAGAGATGGGTTTTCAGGGTGCGCCTAAAGGAGAGGAGAGTAGGTGATAATCTGATGGGTTGGGGCAGGGAGTTCCAGAGGATGGGTGACACCCTGGAGAAGTCCTGGAGCCGGGCATGGGAGGAGGAGACCAGGGAACTAGAGAGAAGGAGGTCTTGTGAGGAGCGGAGTGTGCGTGTTGGGTGGTACTTGGATATTAGGTCGGTGATGTAGTTCGGGGCAGTATGGTGGACGGCTTTGTACGTCAGTGTTAGGATTTTGAATTTGATCCGTTGCGCAATCGGAAGCCAGTGGAGGGATTGGCAGAGGGGGGTGGAGGACACTGAGTGGAGGCCAGTGGAGGGATTGGCAGAGGGGGGTGGAGGCCAGTAGAGGGATTGGCAGAGGGGGGTGGAGCCAGTGGAGGGATTGGCAGAGGGGGGTGGAGGACACTGAGTGGAGACCAGTGGAGGGGTTGGCAGAGAGGGATGGAGGACACTGAGTGGAGGGATTGGCAGAGGGGGGGTGGCGGAGATGGAGCAGTTGGAAAGGTGAATGAGTCTGGCTTCCGTATTCAGGATGGACTGAAGCGGGGATAGCCAGCGGCGAGGCAGGCCAGTGAGGAGGGAGTTGCAGTAGTCGAGTCGTGATATGATGAGGGAGTGGATGAGCTGTTTAGTGGTTTCTGGGGTTAGGAACGTGCGGATTTTGGCGATGTTGCGGAGGTGGAGTCTGCATGTTGCGGAGGCGGAGTCTGCATGTTGCGGAGGTGGAGTCTGCACGAGTTTGTTAAAGATTGGACTTGGGGCTGGAAGGATAGGTTGGAGTCCAGAATGACACCAAGTACTCTGGCCTGCGGGGCGGGTTTGATTGTGGCGTTGTTGGATGTGACCTCATCAAAAACTAGAATTAGATAAATAAGTGCAGCGCTAAATATAGTGAGTATATATATAAAAATGTCCACAAATGTATATATATGACAAATGAAGCAATCAGAAAGCGACAGTCTGTGCAGGTCTAGACCTCACCCACTTGCTGGTGTGGTCCCCTTTAGGAATTGCATATGATCCTGGACAAGGATAATCCCATTATTGGTATCCACCTCTGAAGAAGTGCGTGCGCACGGAACGCGTTAGGAGGAGCCAATACGCCGTGACGTCACGCCGCCGGAGCCACGTGGAGGCCATCTTCTTTTCTGGACGCCCACTGCAGTATCCAGAGAAGAGAGTTCCTGGCTAACAGGCATCTACACCCATCCATCCCTTCAAGGGACCTCTGGCCAGCTGGATCCTTTATCTCCTGTGAGCTCCAACAGCACCACCTTTACCTAGAGGGAGGATTATCCTTGTCCAGGATCATATCCAATTCCTAAAGGGGACCTCTACTGATTTATTCAATGCGTATATACATTACGCATCTGGTGAGTGCGTAATTTTACCACACTGTTTTGGAGCACCGATACTGGATTTTATTATTATTCTGCACCTAGACTTGCACAGACTGTCGCATATATATACATTTGTCGATATTTTATATACTATATACTCACTATTTAAGCGCTGCACTTATTTATCTATACATAAATAGGTGAAATGAGTATCCTCCAAAAGAATAATTATTAAAATTCCAATCCCCGATGTGTCAGAAAGTCATTATAAAATCCAAACCTCAAAAAGAGTCCTCCGAAGATTCCACAGAGATGTACAATGAAGGGAAACTCAGAAGAAATTCAAATCCCAGAAGAGAATAGTACACTATGCTACCCGAGTGCAGCAGACAGGGGCTTACCAGAGTAAATAATGGGCTTTTACGACCCCCCACGGTGTTCTTCCACTTCTACCAATGGCCTTGCAACCAGGAGTGGACTGACAACTCATGGGGCCCCCGGGCAATTGGGAATCATGGGGCCCCTGTGTCCCTGCCCACACTCAAAGCGCATCCAAAAAAAGCCTATAAAAAGGTAACCAGGGGCATTTGATGGGGCCCCCTACTGACCCTGGGCCCTCGGGCAGTGTCCGAATGCTCGAATGGTCAGTCCGCCCCTGCTTGCAACCATATAAATTTCCACTTACCAAAGAGACACCCGCTGATAACAAGGTCCCAGATATGCACCAGACATCATACGCAAGGAGAAAGAGTACTGTCCATAGTGAAGATCCGTATAAAGACTAAAACATTTATTAAGCCAATCCACTTACAAATTCCAGCATATAAAGAGCATATACAATTCACAGGGAAAGGAACTCCAAACGCCAATATCCAAGATGGCCTTGAGTGTTTCGCACATGTGTGATGCGGCCTACGCGTTTTGTCATACATGACGTCATCAGGGACTCACCAACATATTAGCCGCAGTCCCTGGGACACAGTTAACACCACCCACAGTCCACCTTAGGTATGCTTAATGACTGGGTGGTCCTGCCAAGACCTCACCCACTTGCAGGTGTGGCCCACCTGAACCCCACCTAGGCAGGTTCCCCCATTTAAGCACCTTGAACACCATAATCTATGACCTGTTGAGTGTCCACATATGCACAGTAACAGTTATAAGGGTGGCAGTGTAATACCAGGACATGGCCCTGCACACAGGATATCTTGGGCAGTTGCCATCTGTGATCAGATCTTGTAATCTTGGCCAACAGCAGTGCAGGTGTGGCCCACCTGAACCCCACCTAGGCAGGTTCCCTTATTTAAGCACCTCGAACACCATAATCTATGCCCAGTTGAGTGTCCACGTATGCACAGTAACAGTTATAAGGGTGGCAGTGTAATACCAGGACATGGCCCTGCACACAGCATATCTTGGGCAGTTGCCATCTATGAGCAGATCTTGTAATCTTGGCCAACAGCGAGTTCTCCCTACCAAAATTCCTAACGCTGTTTCTGTGAACCTAGGGTACTTCTTAGAGTGGTTCTGCAAACGTTTTTGTGATTTGGCTTTTCCTGGTATATTCTCCGTAATATTAAAGAAAATTCCATCAGGTATGGTGGGAGTTCTTCATAAGAAAGAGAGCAGGTGTGCAGACCTTGGAGACCATGAGAGATCTGACCATCACACCTATCTTTTGGTCAAAAGCCCAATGACTGAGTTCAGGTGTCTTCGGTGAAGGGTACTAATAATACCATATCACACATAGATGTTGTAGACAATTGTGCTCTTCCAACCTTGTGGTAACAGTTTGGTGAAGACCCTTTTCTGTTCCAGCATGACTGTGCCCCTGTGTACGAAGCCAGGTCCACAAACATATGGTGTGACCAGTTTGGTGTGGTTGACCTCCAGTGTCCTGTACAGAGCCCTGACCTCAATTCTACTGACCAATACTTTGGGATGAATTGGAATGCTGATTGTGAGCCTGGTCTTCTTATCCAACATCAGTACCTGACCTCACAAATGGGAACAAATTCCTACAGACACTCCAAAATCTTGTAGGCAGCCATCCGAGAAGAGTGGAGGATGTCATAGTCACAAAGGGGGCTGGGGGCCGGGGCTGTATTAATTACCATAAAGGGCAGACTCCACATTAATGGGCCATGGTGGGGAAACACTCTCTCAATGGTCCTGATGGGGGGGAGGACTCCATAATAATGGTCATGATGGGGGAGGTCTCCATATTAATGGCCACAATGGGGGGAATTCATATTATTGGGCAGGGTGGAGCGGGGGAACTAGACCCATATTAATGGCCACGATGGGGACTTCATACTACAATACAGTTTGGTACAAGAGGAAACAGAGGGCCCGGCTCGTTAGAGCTTACAATCTAGGAGGAGATGGCCATGATTGGGGGAATCCATATTAATGGCCATGATCAGGAGGACTCCATATTTATGGGCACAATGAGGAGGACTGTTTATTAATGGCCATGATGGGGGGTACTCCATATTAATGACCATTACTGGGGGGGCGCTATATTACTAGCCATAATGGGAGGGACTCCATATTAATGGCCATGATGAGGGGGA